ATTGCTCTCGAGGTGTAGGAGTCTGAGGAAAATGAATGTGTGAGAGGTGATAAATGCCGGTCTAGCTAAGCTTGGTTTCAAGGAAATTCGAGAGAATCAACGGAAAGTTGTAGAGGCTTACGTTGGCGGCCGCAATGTCTTGACAGTTGCACCGACAGTCTCAGGGAAAAGTCTGCCATTCCATCACTCCCTTTGTATTGGACTTTTACAAACATGGCGAGCGAGATCTTGTAGACACAGTTTGCCTCGCTATTTTCCCTTTGGTTTCACTAATGAAAGATCAAGTGTTGATCCTTCGTGAGAAAGGGGTCAAAGCCATTGTCTTGGACCCAGAAACTTCTGAGACAGAAAAGCGGCACAGGCTGTCAAATATTTACATCACACCCAGTTTTTTTTGGCGCCAACAATATGCAAATTAAATTCAATATTCTGCAGGCGCATCAAGTCGACTCGCGATTTCATCCCTCGCTTTCATCGTCTTGAGACTCGCTTGCTTTCGCATTTTTGCAGTCGACTTGTGGCAAGTCTAAGATTTGAGATATCAAGTCATATACTCAAACTTGCTCGTGTCTTCTGACAGCTTACACAACACATACAATTGTGCACTCATGCCACTTGACATATTGTCACAACTTTAAATGGGTATAAAATTTCACCACAATATTAAGCCATTGTTTTTAGCCCTAGTGTGATTTTTGTTTGCTCATTTGCACAGACAAGGTCTCAGAAGATGCTAAATACAAGGTCAAAAATTAGCATTTTGCATTTCTCTCCTGCTTCCTGCCCTCTTAGATCTCCTAATTCTTGTGGACCCTTTCTCTTCCTGCCCACCCTCTAGGTCCCAGACTCCCACTTGCCTGTCCCCCCACCCCACATCCCCCACTCCACACAATAAAATTAAGACAAAAGAAAAAGAAGAAAAAAAATCATGAGAGGGGAGGGGGAAAGGGATGCTGTGAATAGAAGATGGGATCCCAATAAATAAGTCTTAAATAAGCTCTAATGACTTGAGTTGTCATACAGGTGTTCAAACATCAAGCAAGAGAACTAAATAAAAATAGTTAAACTCTTAATTTGAAACTTACCGCTTGATAAGGACCCATCAACAGTCCCCAACGAAGATGAAAACACTACCAACAGGAAGAGAAACCACGATGTCCTCATATGGCTAATGAACTGAGAAATCTCGGTGTTGTGCAAAAAATTGATGATTCATCTGATTCCTGAAGACACTCTTCGCTTCGATTGATCCAAATCTTCACTGGTTCTTCACATGTCGGTCTTTCTTATTCTTTTTTTTTATCTTCCGCCTTACTGAAACAAAAAGACCATCACTTACCGTTTAGTTCCTCCATCTTTTTCGTGGTTGCTTAGTATGCACGTCAAGTATGCATTCCTATACTGTCCTGAACTACTTTATAGCGAGGCTCGGGGCAGGGGTGGTCAGCCTCGTTCCCAGGGTCTCTCGTCTTCCAGCCCTGGGAACGAGGTTGAGGCTTGGCCAGAATTTCAAGCAGAGAGATAATTGGCAGTAAAATCAATCAATCAATCTGTAAATCAGTAAAAATGAGATAAGGTTACCATAGCAAGATTGGTCCCTTAGCATTGTACATTGTATGTGTTTTTTTTTTTCATTAACGTGTTTTCAAGGCAGCTATGGTTACCCCGGTACTATACGATAACCCTAGCCCATTGTCATAGTTACTCTATACTACCAGGGTAACCCCATCCTCGGAGATCCAATCATCCAAGGGCAGCTAGACGGGACGACGCCATATTTTCAGGCGACGCGATGTTTCCGGGCAAAAGTTTACATCAAGAGTGGAAGAGGTCTTGATGTAAACCTTTGCCCGAAGATATCCCGACGCCTGAAAATATGGCGTCGTACGGACCAGCTGCCCCTGGGTCTCCGAGGTTGGGGTATTCCTTGGTGGCCTACCCCGGGGCAACTTTTAACTGATTTCCGGACCGTTTGGATGTGGTACAAGTCAACAAACCGCCAACATCGCTTCGATACCAGGGATCATGAAAACATGCCGATTAACTCTGAAAATTTTCGTGTTACTTTGAAAGGTTTGTTGCGTTCAGAATAAATGACAACACGCCGTCTTACACACAAAATATGGTTTTTTTTAGGGGAAGGGCGTCCCCGGACCCCAACTACCAGAGATCAGGCCTTCGTCATCTTTCAGTGGACGGCTAAGCAGTTGGAAATCTCACTCTTTGACAAAAATTCAAACTTAGAGCTTTCTGGTTCCTGCAGCCAGATCAAGACCACTTTGGTGAGTTTCGCCTTCCGGCACTGAGAACAACTGGGAAGCCTGTGGACAATTAACTAGCTAGACCAAGGAAATCTGAAGACGTTGCCATAGAGGAATATAAATTCATTGACAAAACACAGCAATAATTTTGAATGCCAACTTCATTGGGATTCAGAAGTAAAAAGGGCCAGCAACTAGGATTTAAAATGAAGAACTGCAAGATTTTCCAGTCACAGGCCAGGATTAAGGCCATTTTACACCAAGGAGTTTTTCTGCACCTTGCCGTCAGGTTGTTACACGTTCAACTTGTCTGTCATTGCTGCATAACAAGTAAGATACAAGAAAAGATGTTAGTTCATCCTCTCTTGTAGGATACCATTCCACTTTTCTTGCAACTCGCAACGCGGCAATTTCAGGTTGCAAAATGCCTGAATTTTTCCTTTCTTTCCGTAAATCTTTCCTGCAACGGGGTCTTTACTCACAGAGTCCTTTATTTAAGGCTGTGGCCAATCACACACACAGGCACTCAAGCGAACCAATCAAAACTTAAAACAAATAGATGTAAGCGACAGGAAACGCCGGAAAGAGTGTACACAAAAAGACATCCTGTGCGAGCGAGTCACAATCCTCAGTAGGAAAAAAGATGGCGACTGGTACATTTACCCATGATTCTTAGCGCACAAAAACCTTAACAACGTTCACAAAAACGTACAGAAACTTTATAAAATCTTCAAACCTAGGTTACTCAATGTCCTTAGCACAGGGAAAAATATCATAAAAATTTGGCTTTCTTTGTACCTTATAGGCTGTGTTAGGTTCGCAAGGCATTGTGGTAAAATGTACAGCCGCCATCTTTTTTCCTACTTTGGATTGGTCTTGGTTACTTCTGATCGATTGGCTAACAATATGGCGCGCGTTTTTTGAGCCAATCACTCCACCTCGATTCCAGGGTCCTCTCTCTAATCACTCAGTACAATAATGCGAAACCAAAGCAAGTGCGATTACTTTCGACACTCAAGTTCTAAAACCGCTCTGTTGGCAATACAACAACAACACTTAACACTCGGTATTTAAGTCAATTCACAAACAAAAAATCGGCGTTTACTTTGTTTCTCACTTTCTTCCACTCCGCATAACCAGTGTTGCGCGAAATGCGAAAACTGCCAGTGTGTTTTCCACATAATTGAGTGGCGGCTCATTTGAAAATCGTCACAGGGCATCGTGATAGCTCCAGATTATTGGCGAGTGAAATTTTAAAGTTCCGAAATTACAACAAAAAAAAGCCTGTTATTTACCATAAAAAAGTAATGCATATTACGACTCCATCACTGACCAACACACGCGGAGCTTTAGATTTAAGTTATTACTAGTTCATTGGTGGTGACCTGCAATGCAGGCGTATTTTGGCGAGCGAACGCATTTATAACAAGCGAAGCGACATCTTGGTTTCAAACTCGGAAGAGGCTTGGGGAGAGACTAAAAGGCATCTTAGGCTCCTTAAGAACCTTGACACGCACCAAGTACAAAACCATTTCACTTTACATCCCACTCACATTTTACTAACTGTCGTGCTAATTCACAAGTTCATGATATGCACTCATTTTCTTCGCGTAAGAGTTCTGAAGAAGTTCAAGCGTTCCACCAGCAAAATTAAAACATGAAAATTAGACGATATGGAAAAAAGTCAGAGAACTCGTGCCCTTTTAAAGTGGGCCATCGTGTTTCCTACAGGTGACCAAGAATTCAGGTAAAAAACGAACAGAAAAATATAGCGAAGTCACGCTTAGTCCATAAACGATATACGCGAATCTGTACATCTTTGGAAATTACAATAGCCTGTTTCAGTCTCTAGGTCAGTTGGGACGATGGACCCAGAGCTAAAGCCTGGTTTCCATATGATCGCGGATCATCGCAGAATCGTAGGTTCTGCGATCATATGGAAACACGCATCTGCGACCGTTTGCGATCGATTGCGATCTCTGCGATCAATCGCAAACGATCGCAGCCGAATAGAACCAACATGTTCTATACCCTGCGATCATATAGAGAGACAATTATGGAAACTTATCCCATAATATTCATAATCGATCCCATGATTCAACACTCCGTAGAAACAACACCGTATTATTAGTTTGTGGCAACGCTGGCAACACTCATTTCTCGTAGACAACAGCGGAGTCAAGATGGAAGAAGGTGAGCCTGCTGATCGTTTGAGCAGCGAAGATTTTATGGAAGAAGCTGCGTGATACGAATGTCTCTACAACAGGAAAAGCACGATCGCAGACGATGTTTTGTTGCCTGTATTCCTTTGGCTCAGCGGTATTGCTTAAAGTACATAGGCTCACATAGGCGTAGGCGAATATGAAACAACATGGCGGACGAGGACGAGAAGTTGCTTTTGCCACAGGGCAATCTTTTATTGCTTTGAGCGTTACGGAAAAGGATAATGGAAGCCCAACTGGAAAAAGGATCAACGATATTCCTTAATGGAACAGTGTTTGTAGAACAATGTTTCTGTTGTTTACACAATTTCAACTTAAACAAAATCTTTATATGAATGGCTATAAGCGGATAGGCCTTTTGCTTTTCAGACTTGTAAACTACTTCAATAATATTAAGGAATCATTTATTCACGATATATATATATTAAAGTGAGAGCGTCGAACGCACTCTCATAATCTCTGATTACTACTAGTATTAAGGAATAAATGGTTTCTTTCTTTCAGCTATTGAGTTTTTTATGAGCTTTTTGCGATTCTGCGATCGTCTGCGATCATATGGACCCCGCTTGTCGCCCGCCCGCTTTTTCAATCGTCCACACTGACCGAGAGCCTGGAACAGGCTAAAATTACTGATAAAGTAAGAGTCATTCTTTCTTTCTTGATAGATGATACGCTAGTCTTTTTGTTCCTTCTCTCGGAGTCGTTTCAAGACAGCTCTTCGTCTTGCTGTTTGGACATTCCACATCAGTGTCTCCCTCAACCAATCAGGAACGCGTGAAATAAACCAGTTCTGTGAAAAGGATTAAAACAGAAGAACATAAGACTGACTCAACTACGGTGAACTCCGCCATCT